TATTCGTATCAGTATTACCATCATTATCATACTTACGATTGCTACAATGTTCAGTAGTAGTGGTGGTAGTAGTAATAAGACTAATAGTAAATAGTAGTAGTAGCGTTCGTCTCACTATCAAAACTGGTATGAATATTATATTATTATGAGTCTTATTCGTCGTCATCATTCCACCTTCCTCTTCCTCCGCCCTCCTCCTCCTCTATCCTCCCTTCTTCTTTCTATCCTCCCTATCCTCTATCCTCCCTATCCTCTATCCTCCTCTATCCTCCTCTATCCTCCTCTATCCTCCATCCTCCATCCTCCTCCCCTTCGACCTTCTCATGCTTGTTCTTCATCACTGCACCATTCCCCTCATTGCTCCTCCCTCCTTCTTCTCGCCCTCCGTCCTTCCTCCTCACGCCCTCCTACAACCAGTTCCCAATAACTCTGGCGAAGGGCCTTTCTCGTCTTCGGCTCCGCCTGCTCTGGCGCCGGCGCCGGCTTTCTCTTGGGCGCGACCGGAGGCGGCTTGGGTTCCTGCAGACGCGGGCGGACAGCTCGGCGGGGTGAGGCAGGGAGGAGGGGGGAGGGAGCGAAGGAGGCGGCGAGACGTATAACGATTGGAATCAGACTTAGAGGACACAACGTACAACAAGTAACAAGTGGCAGGAGCAGGGAGCGTAAGCACAGAGGGGAAGCGGACTCGTCCTCAATTCATCCTCCCTGCATCCTCCATCATCCCCATCCTTCCTCCCTCTGTCCTCCCTCCCATCAGCCTCCTCCCTTCTCATCCTTCCTCCTCCTCCTTCTCCACCTCCTCCTCCTCCTCCACCTGCCTCCTCCTCATCCTCGGCTCTCCTCCTCCTCCACCTCCTCCTCCTCCCACCTCAGCCCCCCTCCTCCTGCAAAATCTCCTCCATCGTCTTCCCCTTCCTCATCCCTCTCATCGACCCTTCGTGCGCTGATCTTCCTCTTTCTCCTTTCCCCCTCCACATCCCCTCTCGCTTGCGGAAATCGAGGGGATAAGGGAGGATGAGGAGCAACGACAACTACATAGGAGGAGGGAGGTAGAAGAGCAGCAACAAGAGAGGATCCTGCTGCCCCCGCCTCGACCACATCGTTTTCCCGCAAGTCCTCCTCCTCCTCCGTCCTCCTTTCTCCTCCTTCCTCCTCCTTCCTCCTCCGCCTCCACCTCCTCCTTCCTCCTCCTCCTCCTCCCTCCCTCCCTCCCTCCCTCCCTCCCGCCCTCCCCAAAAAAGCCCAGGGGCACCCGAATGGGTCCCCACCACCGTCGCCAAGAAGGACCCCCAGGCGTTGGGGTTATGGTCCCGGGTCCCCCGCAGGCCTCCGCAGGGAGACAGCATTTGAGGTCTGGCCACACCTGGCCTAGCTATAACATCTAAATCGAAACAGGGCGGCCCAGCGAAGCAGCAGCAGCAGGACGGAGGAGAGGAGGGTCAGACGCGAAACACACGCAGCGGCGCGGGCAGACCCACCAACCCTGGGGAGTCAAGAAGCGGCCAGGCATGCACTCCAGAGACCTTAAAAGGATCAAGTCGGCTGGCCAACTGCCTTTTCGGTCAGCTGATTGGACCATGTGTGTTTGCTTTTTGTCTTGGCGCTAGCCCCAATCATCTGGGGGGAGGTGCTGTCCGATAACCTAACCTGCTCGTTCTGGGAAGCCCCACTTATGCCAGCGCGCACCAGCACTGCATCTCTCCTACTGCTGCTAACGATGTTGCGACGATGAGGCTACTGCGACGACGCTGGCGCCCGTGCGCGCGTCATGGGGACGGGCACCCCAACACCTGCGAACGCCGCCACCACTGCGCGCGTCCACCATCGCAACGCGGGCGAGTACCTCACTAGAACTTTCGGGAGCCGCACCCCCTGCGACCACCACCGTGCTTATGAACACCGGCACACCTTTGCGAGCACCACCGCGCCGTTGAGCACCGCGCTCCCTGTGAACTCCCTGCGCACCCCGCAATTCGGACCTGCGCAATCGTCTCAGGTCAGGTTATCCGCGGGGGTGGGGGGTGGGGCCGGGTGATCGCCTGAGCTTTCCAAACATGTTACCTATACGACGACCCTCCGGGTAATATGGAGGTTGTGTTTGGGGGGGGAACTGACCACTGCGATTATTGTGATTGATGGTGTCGATGCTGGTGATGCGCTCGCTGAGCTGGTGGCGATGCGCGAAGACGATGCTGGGGACGATGCGTGATGGCCATTGTGATGGTGACGATGCATGGCGACGATGCTGGTGATGAGCGGGGTATCGCGATGGTGACATTGAGAAACCAACGCCCATCGGAGAACATTCAAACAACCACCTGGACACCAGCGAGACAACCTCGGGACAACCACAGGACCATCGAGAGACCGTTGGGGCACCATTGTCAGGACACCATCGGGAGGAGCACCTGAAGATACTGCGCGGGCAAAGGAATGATTCCCTCGGGACACCATCGGGGCACCATCGGGACACAATGTGGACACCATGTGGGCACCATCTGGATACCATCTCATTGTTGATCTCACCATCGTTCATTATATCAATATATCAGTCTCACTATCCGTCGGTCTCAGTCCATCCCCGAATCGATCACACTATCTATTCACCGATCTCCATATCGATCGGTCTCGCTATCAGTAGATCTCATGATCTCCCTTCGGGTCATAAGGAGATTGTGTGGGGGTAGGCCATCTGGTGGCAACAGCGACGGTAGCAGTGAAAGGTAGTTCATCGTCGATCTCACCGTCAATCTCACTACCTATCGACCTCTCCGTCGATCTCACTTTCGATATCCCTATCGATCTCACTATCGAATTCACTACCGATCTCACTATCGAACTCATTCTGTCGATCTCACTCTATCGATCTCACTATCGACCTCCACGGGCCAAACCGGACACCGCGGGACACAACGTCACGGAACACCACGGGACACTACGGGACACCACGGGACACCGGCGGAACACCACCCGGCCACGTGGCACCATCGGGACACCGTCGAGACGTCATTGGGGCACCATCGGGACTCCATGGGGACACCATCCGGAGACCGTCGAGGCGACATCGGGACACCACCAGCACATCAGCAGGACACCGCTGGACCGCCGCCAGCCAACTGGGGAGAGGGCAGAGCATCAGTTGGCCCAGTTTCGCCCTAGCAATGGCTGGTTCACTCCTCTCTCTCCCGCGCACGCAGATTCGCCTCACCCGCACGCACGACACAAACACGAACCCCATGGGGGGTCTCCGTTTCAATTCGATCTCACCCCTGAACCTCCGATCTTGCCACTGGGGGGCTGTTTGTTCCTGACCTCTCGGGGTAGAATGAAAACAATTACGTAATGGGCCTCCGGATGTCCCTTGAGGTCTCCTCACGCCTCTGGCAGTCCCTGCAGGCTTCCAGAGATCCCCAGAGGCCTGCAGAGGCACCTGGAAACCACAGAAACAAACATCCTGGGGAGGACCCATCTGTGGGAAGAGGGAGCACACTTCCACCATCTTCCAAGGCATCAGGGGCGCGGCTGCTCGTCGAAGTCTGGAGGGCCGCCCTCTCCCACCAAAACACCAATACACCAATACTTCACAGCGTCAATAGCCAATGGAGGGGGCCGCGGACCTCCCTGCAGCCCCTCGGCCAACGAAGACGGCTGCAGGAAGGGGTCCAAACGTACCTACACCTTCATGCACCAATCAACCAATACACCAGCAAACCAATTCCTCATATTCCTCCCTGCTGCTGGTGGAATGTAAAGCATCGTTCCGGCGGAGGCTGCGCAGGCCTCTCGGGAGGGGCGCCGCGTGGCGGCTGCGCTGGCGCGCGCGCGAGAGGGCGGAAGGGAGGAGAGGCCTGTTTCTCCGCGACTCAAGGGCGCGGATCTCCGCACTGCGCCTCGGCCGACCCGCCTCCGCCTGCGGCCACCCGCAAGGAAGGGGGGAGGAGGCCCTGACTCTCCGGGAGTGCCCGACCTCACGTCGAAAAACAGAAGCGAGGGGAGGGAGGAGGAGCGAGGGGCAGGAGGGGAGAGGGGAGGGAAGCTCGAAGAATAGTCAAGGCTCAAAGATCCTCCACTTCTCCTCCTGCTCCTCCTTCCCAACCGTCTCCTCCTCCTCCTCGTCCTCCTCCCTTCGTCGTTCTCCTCACATGATACATGACTCCTCCCTGTCGCAAGAGAAATACAGAAGTCCCACAGATGGAAGACAGGAAGTTTACAAAATGTTGCTCTCGCCTGAGTGCCACGCACCTGCGTCTCAAAATATTGCTAGAGCTTCACGGCTGGTGGGCGGGCCGCTTTCGAAGTGTGGCTATCTCCTGGACGCCGCACACATTCGTCCGCAAAGCTTGCTGGAGCTTCAGGGATGGAGGGCCGGCGGTTTTCAAAATGTGGCTCTCGCGTGAGCGCCGCGCGCATGCGGCCTGAACGTTTGCAAGAGCTTCACTGGAGGGCGGAAGCTCTTTCTGAGAATGTGGCTATCGCTTGAGCGCCGCGCACATGTTTGCAAACGTTTGCAAGAGCTTCACCGCATGGAGGGTGGCTCCTTTTCAACATGTGGCTCTCGCATTGGCGCCGCGCACATTCGTCTGAAGAGTGTACACCAGTTCTCAAGAGGAGTTTGCAACACTTTCGAGGACTCTTATGGTCGACGTCCTAGGACTGTTTGGGCACATCAGTCACGTTGATTCGCGGCGTCGAAGTTTCAGGAAACACGTTCTGACAAGATTTGAGACCGTCAGAACTTAACCGTAACGTTGATTCGCGTCGATGAAGTTCCATAAACGATGCATTGGCACGTCTCGGGATTTCCAGGCGGTTGAACTTCCAACGGGGCACTTCCCTCACCTCACTTTGAAGCAGGAGTTTGGAGGGAGGGTTTACTGCACATCGATCGTGCATCCTGGGCTTGCTCTGGTCCCCCTCCTCCTCTTCCCTCTCTTTCCTCGCGGGGGGCGGGGGGAGGGCCCTCGGCTCCTCCTTCAGCGTCGGGGGTGCCACTGGCTTGC